GCCTGGGTGCGGTGCCGCCCTGTCCCCTGCCGTATTGTTCTGTCACTTTGCCTGTGTCAGCAGGTGGACGTGTTCGTCACACATTAAATATTCAGCGTGCTGACTGCGGCAGAGAGGAGGCAGCCTGTGGCAGTTGTGGGGTCCACGCAGGGACATGGGGGCCGAGGGGTGTGTGGGGTACCTTGGCTTGGGGACATGGGGTGGTGTGGTGAGGCTCTGGGGGTGTCACTCCTTGACACCCTAAAAGGGGCCAGTAGCCAGCAGAATGGGCTGTTTGTGTGATGGGGACAGAAAACTGCTCAGAGGTACAAAAGAAGCAGCCTGCCCCCAAAGGGGGTCAGCTGGACAAGGAGGGGACCCGGGCAGCAGTGTGTGCGCTCAGAGGCCGCACTGCAGGCGGAAGTGCCGGGCGTGTGGCTGTGCGAGGGCGCAGCCCCCAGGCAGGTCAGAGGCAGCTGCAGCCCCAGGTCCTGCCCCCTCCAGCATCTGAGGGCACAAAACGCAGGTCTGAGCCTGATCCATGGGGGACCCCGCCTTGTCCCGTGCCCCACCCCCACCCCAGCTGGGCCACTACTTTTCTCATTTCCACCGACTCAGCTCGGAGCATTTGCTGTGAAGGCCGCGTGGCTGCCTCGTGCAGGTGGTGTGTGACCCAGGGCCCTCGCCTGCGTGGCTGCCATCAGGTCCCGGTCAGGAGAGGGGCTGGGTGCTGTGCTGAGGATCCCCGGGGGGACAGTGAGGCGCAGGAGATGAGGGCAGAGGCTGCGTCGGGTGTGCGTGGCCGGTCCCCACAGCGCTGGTCCTTCTGTGGGAGCAAAGAGCAGAGGGTTCCGGGCAGCTGGCAGGGCTGGCAGTGGTGGGAGGGGTGTTGCCGGGGTCAGGCGCTGACTCTCCGATGGAGGCATCTGCAGCCCGGGGCACGTGCTCCGCGGGCTGGGGCTACTTTCCAATGCGAGTGCCATCTCTGCCGCTACTGCCCAGGGCCCAGGCAGGCGCCCGCCGCTCCCACACACTGACCTTCGGTAGGAATTCTCGGGTGGGGGTGGGTCAGGGAGGGACCGCTGAGCTCCCTCCTCCAGCTGCTGGGTGTGGGGCAGCTGGTCCCCTGGCCACCTAGGTCCTACCAAGGTGCCTGGGACAAGGACACGAGGGTGGCTCCCACCGCCCAGGGAGCGGACTGCAGCTGAGGTTGAGGAGGACTCGGTGGCCTGGGGCCCTTTCCGACTTTCAGGTCTCTCACCTCTGGCTCCAGTGCCACCAGTGTGGCCAGTGGGACTTCCCTTGGCACTGCCTTTCTTCTGGCCACCAGGCCTGGAGGGGTCAGTCCCAGCGTCCCCAAGAAGGTCATCTCTGCCCTGCTGGCTTCCAACTCCGGACACAGGCGGGGAAGTAGCCGGTGCGTGGTCACCGCAGCCGGCCGCAGAGAGACCGCCTTCTGGCTGCCCCCGCCCTCCCCGCCCCCCGCCGCACATTAGGGCTTTATGGCAGGATGTGGTGTTTAAATGAAAGCATTAGTGTTTGGAATTAGGTTTGACTGAGCAGGGAAACTAGAGTTTGCAGGGAGAGAGCTATGGCCTGTTCAGCTGTAAACCACCTCCCGTCTCTGGATCTGCCAAACTCGGCACCAGTCCCTGGGAAGCCAGAGCCCCAGAGCCCGCCCCTGTGTGCCCCTCGCCCTGAGGCCTGCTGCTTCCCCTCCACACTGACCGACCGACCAACCAACCGACCAGGTGGCGAGTTCTATATTGGCTTCACAGGGGGAGGAGCAGGGGGCCAGGCGAGTGTGGCGTGTTTGGGCCTTTTCTTGTGGAGGAAGGGAGAGGTGGGCTTTGCCCAGGGGGGCTTTTCCAGGATGGCACAGACCCCAAACCTGCTGCCAGGGGCTGGGGGACTCGCAGGGGAAAGGAGCCTGAGGTGTGGCCTGCTGGGATCCAAGTGGAACCCAGGGGCTTGCCCACCAACCTGGGGACCCAGGTTGGTTTTTGTGCCGCTGTGGTTGGGCGAGGTGGCGGTACCCCATTCTCTGAGCTCTGGGAGCAGGCGGCACCACGGGGAGCCTGTGGGGGGAACAGTCCAGAATGCTTGCCCGGCAGGTTCTGCTGGAGGAGCAGCAGCTCTGAGAATTGCGGCGCTCACCTTCCAGGGGCCAGGCTGGTGCAAACGTCCGAGGCGCATGCTCCGAAGGAAACCGGCACCTGGAGGGCGACGGTGGAGCCATGAGGAGGGGGAGCGGGAGGGCAGCCGTGGTGCTGGGTGTGCGAGTGTGTCGACGGCGAGATCTCTCTTATCTCTGTATCACCCCCTTCCGAAGTGGGGTGCCTGTGACCCCAGTTATTGCACAGGGGCTTCAAAGGGGGCTGGTGGGAGGGGGCATTTGTGATCTTTTAAAACCGTCAACCTCACCTGGAAAATGTTGTATTGAAGAACTAACTGCTGAGTGTGATCACGTGACCGCGGGACGATGTCCGAGCTGCCCCAGCACAATCGGGGAACATCGCTCACACTGCAAACATGCCCCCCAAGTACCCTAAGTGAAAAATGAGGGAACCCAAGTAATCCTTAGGGCCAGGGTAAGGCAGGGAGTGGGGTGGGGAGGGGTTTGCCAGGCAGGAAGGGGGGTG